GAGTTCACATCTTCATTTCTCCTACTTCTTCTATCAACAAGTCTATGAAGTGCTCTCATTGGCCAATCACGCCCAACAAGCTCAAACCTCCTTCTCTAATTACAACATCCCCCTCCCCACAAAACACTAATTAAACCCCAAAAATAAAAATTATAAGAAAATAAATTCTTACACTACTTGACGCAAAAAATACAAGATCAAAATTAAAAAAAAATAAAAAAATATATACATAAACAAAATGGACTAAGTAATTAACCTATAGCTAAAAAAAAGTTTAAGCCTTCTACTTTCATCATGAGCCCATTCCTTTGCATCCTTCTTGACATTGCCTTTATAATAGGTCCTTTGAGAAACAATATATCATCTCTCCTCCCTCTTCAAGTATTTATTTAATGAATCATTTTTAATATTTTTTAAAATAAATTATCAATAAATAAAATAATCTTATGCTATAATATAAATTATTTTTCATAAATTTAAAATATAATTTCTATGTTTAAACTATTTATTCAAATTTTATATATACTTTATATATTTAAACATAATATTTATTTATATACATAATTTATTTTAAATTTTAGTAATATATAATGAACATTTAACATGTGTATTATACATAATAAAATACTAATTATATATAAAATATGAACGACTCGTTATTTAAATTAATTTTTATTTATTATAATTATTTATTAACTTCAATATATAAAACATAGAGGATTATCTTTTAATTTTATTTAATTATTATTTATATATTATGTTATAATATAAATTATTTATTATAAATTTAAAATATAATCTATATATTTAAAAATATTTATTTATTTAAAATTTAAATATAATTTATATATTTAATCATAATATTTATTTTAAATTATTTTTTTTTATATAAATATTTAACGTGAGAATTGCACGTGATAAAACACTAGTTAATAAAAAGTTACGCACGTAATCTCACTCATAGCGCACCACCTCTGTCACTCTAGTGTCAAGCCAAACCCATTCCATCTTAAAGTCTCTGCCATGACCTAATCCACTCACCTCTGGGCAATTCCACGCACACTCCTCCACAAAGCGTGTTCATTATCTCTTCTTTCATCGTTCACGCTTCTCTTTTCCGTAATGGATGGGTTAGGTGCCGCAGCTCCGAACGTCGAGGATCACAAACAACTTGAACACGCTTCAAAAGGTTCGTTTGCTTTTCATTATTATTATTTTTTGTTTCACTTTCACTGCGTAATCACTACTTCTTTGTTCCGGGTTCTTTGGTTGCTGTAATCGCTTCTTCCTTGTTCCGCGTTCTTTGGTTAGGCTTGTGCATATCCATATGGTCCTACTTAGGAGTTTGATCACGAAGAAAATTAAATTATTAGCTCTGTTTTTTTTTTTTTTTAGTTCACACCAACGCAAAGTTTGTTTGTTTGTTTTTTTTTTTAGCTTGAGCTAGGGTTTAAAGTTTTGTTAATTTTGAAAAAAGTTTACTCTTCATTTTCTAAAGCTTGAATGGAAATTATTTTGTGAACTTTTATCATTATCTTTGGGTTAACGATGCTGTTGGTTGCTTTAGTAGGGAAGTGTGGCGTGTATTAACATTTTTAGACTAAATTGCGCTTTTTAGTCTATTTATTTTCATCTATCAACAATTCTAGTCTCTATTTTAAAACAGAGATTAAGTCCCAATAATTTAAAAAATATGGAATTTAACGTTAGTCGTGATATATAGTAATATGGCATTTAGAAATAGAAAATTAGAAAAAAATGTAAATAAATTTTTATGAATAAAATAAATATTAATTACTTGTAAAATAAAAATATACAAATAAAGATCTTTTGTATATTATTTTTTAATTTTTATTCATATATATGTCATGTTACTAAATATCATGTTATATAAATGATGATAGTTCACTAAATAAGGTTAAAATTTAACAATTAACTAATATCAAATTAGTTGTAGGACCAAAATTTTGTATTTTTAAAAATAAGAGACTAAATGTCTCTATTTTAAAATAGAGAAACTAAAATTGTGAATCAATAAAAATAGAGGGACAAAAACTGCAATTTAACCTACTTTTTATTTGTATTACTGCTAAGAAGATTGCAAATATGCCTTCTCAATATATGTTTTCCATTCTAGAGCCTTATTTGTATTTATATCTACTCATGTTGATTACTTGTAGAGTTTTCTTATTTTTCAAGATATTACAATCGTTACACCATTTTTCTATGCTTATTGAAAACTTGCGACCTATCGTCATCAATTGTTTTGTTTTACTAGTATTTTAGTATACAGTCCACATTTTAAATGTTTATTATATATAATTAGTAGGTAAAAAGCGCTCTGTGTATTTCTTTGAATATATATACACGTTAGTGGAGGTAGTGGGCGGTTATCAAAATAGTCAAATAAAAAATTTATATATTAAAAGACTTTTCTGACATTTGTTAATCATTATTGTGCAACTTTTTAGGAATTGTGTCAAAAATATTGTGTACACGAAAGGAAGGAATTGTCTTTATATAAAAGTATATATTAAAATTTAGAATAAATTATGTATTTATACTTTTATACTATTAATAAAGATGATGCATTTTTTGGTGTATATATTATGTTGACTATTTTATCTCTTAGCTTTCATAACATTCTTTCTCTGCCATAGTTTTTTTTATTTAGTTTTTATTTTCTTTATTTTTTCTCTACTTTTCAGTAATTTTTTTTTTCAAACTTCTCACACACTTTAAATAACTACTCGAAATTGCTCTCATCCTCTAATTTTTAACCACCCACATCTTTTAGTTAGCCATCCACAAAAAATATTGTAACTACTCAACTGCAAAGTAAATTAACTCTTTTACACATAAGTTTATATCATGAATTCTTTTTGTACACATTTTTATTATTTTTATTTTTCAGATAAGTATGTAAAGGCACGTAGTGCTCACTTCCTCTCTAGTATAAATAAATTTTATAATTGAATATATAAAATCATATATAAAATTTGAATAAATTGATATTTTTAATATATAAATTATATTTTAGTTTTATGATAAATAATTTATATTGTAACACAAGATTATTTTTATTTTATTGATAATTTATTTTAAAAATATTAATAGTTAATTTATAAATAATTATGATATATAAAAACCAAATTAGGTATGAAATTAAAAGAATTCCTAAAAACCTTTCGTGAAAGAAAAACTCTTAAAAATGCTCTAGTGCAAGATATTTGTTTGTGTTTGGGGTTGATTATTTGGTGGTTAGTGCGGGCTTGACAGATGTGGATTCCCTCAAATGTGCAAAACTGCAAACTGTATTTGATATGTCAACATGATTATAAGAAGCCGCTGGATTGTGTCTGGTTTGATTTTCTTCTGTTATGCAGAGGGTGAAGTATTTGATGCATCGCAATATGCATTCTTTGGTAAAGATGTTGCTGAGGAAGTTAACTTGGCGGGGTTAGAAGATGAAGATGACTATAAGGCTATGCTTGCCGTCGAGTTCAATGAGGAAGATTTCTGTCTCACTAAAGAAGAGGTTATTTTTCAGTCTTATGCCATTTCTTCTAAATTTCAAAATTTTTTGTGGCTACTATGTGTAAACGTATAAGCATTTCAATCTTATACATGTGGTTCAACTGCTCATGAGTTCACAATTTTATCATCAAGTGGTGCATTTCATTTCACTCATGCCATTGTGTGGTTAACCAAAAGAATTTTTTTTTTTGTATGGTGTTTAGTTGCTAGCTTTTCCCCCTTTTGGTCTTAAATTTTTTATCTTTCTAAGTAGACCGTAGTGTTTCAATGGCATATATGTTTAATAGAATTAGAGAATACTGGAAAAAGGAAATAAAAAAGAATTTTATATGTCGTCAATCTATGTTTTTTTAAATAAATTTTGGTGATACTTGTTTCGTTTGGTGATGTTTTACTAAAGACATGGTATTGAAGATTGTTGAGAGGAGAGAAAAGATGCATATGCTGAACATCATATGGCTCAATTACTGCATTGATTTTATATTTATATAGTGAATATATTGAAAAACTGTTAAAGAGGGGAGGACAAAGACATTTGGGAAAAACCGTGTATTTGACTGGATGCAAATTTATATCAGCCTATTACATTAATTATAGATAAATAAATGATATTTGTTTCCTTTAAATATGATATTGTGCCTATAAATTGCTATTATGAAAATAAATATAGATTATTATATTATGATTTTCACACTCCCATTGAAGTTGGAGCATATAAATCATTCGCACCAAACATGTTACATACATAGCCAATTCTAGGTCCTTTCTAGGATTTGGTGAAAACATCTGCCAATTGATCAGTAGAGTTGATGAAGCTTGTGATAATGTCCGCTGACTCGATCTTCTCTATAATGAAAATGGCAGTCATGCTCAATATGTTTGGTCCTTTCATGAAAGACTAGATTAGAGGCAGTATCTAAATCTGCTTGATTATAATAAATGAGCTTCATTTGTGTTGTCTCTTCAAACTTGAGCTCTCTAAGTTGTTTCAGCCATATGAGTTTAAAAGTAACTAAAGTCATTGCCTTGTATATTACTTCGACACCTGATCTTGCTACAACATTTTACTTCTTACTTTTCCAAGATATCAAGTTTCCTCCAATCAACACACAATACCTAGGAGTGGATTGCTTATCACTTGGTGAACTTGCCCAGTCAACATATGAATAGCCAACTATTTGAGCATGTCCCCTGTCTTCATAAATGAGGTCTTTGCTTGGGACACTCTTAATGTATTTCAGTATCCGAGTTACTGCATTCCAATGGTCTTGGCTAGAAGAATTCAAGAATTGACTCCCCATACTACAAATGCTATATTTGGTTGAGTGACAATGAGATAATTCAACTTTCCAATTAACCTTCTATATATCCCAGTATCTGATAATGGCTCCTCCTAATTGGGTAACAATTTGACATTAGGATTCATAAGAGTGTCCACAGTCTTGGCATTCAATAGGCCAATGTCTTACAGGATGTGAAGAGCATATTTCCTCTAAGAAATTACCAAACCATCTTTGGATTGAGCAACTTCAATATCTAAGAAATACCAAAGCATGCCAAGGTATATAGTTTTGAACAAGTGTGAGAGATACTATTTCAAGTTGAAAATACCATGATGGTCACTGCTTGTAATGACAATATCATCCACATAGACGATGAGATATATGCATCCTTGAGGTGAATTGCGATAGAAGATAGAGTGGTCAATTTTATTGTGAACCATACCAAATTGTTGCACAACAGTACGAAGTTAGCCAAACCAAGCTCGAAGGGATTGTTTAAGTCCATTGGGATCTGTGAAGTCGACAAACCAAAGTAGAGGAGTCCCCTTAAGCAACAAAACCTGGTGGTTTCTCCATGTAGGCTTCATTAAGATTGCCTAGTAGGAAAGCATTTTTAATATCAAGTTGTAAGAAAGGCCAATGTTGAATGGCAACCATGGGGAATAGTAATCTAAGAAAAGTCATTTTGGCTAATAAGGAGAAAGTATCAATGAAGTCTTGACCATACACTAAGATATATCATTTTGCCACCAGGTGGGCCTTGAAGTGATCTATAGTCTCATCAGGGCCAACTTTAAGGGTATACAACCAATGACACCCAACAAAAGTTTTGCTAGGAGGAAGAGGAGCCAAATCCTAGGTACTTCTACTTTGGGGTGTAGACATCTCATCAATAATTGCTTGTCTTCAATCTAGGTGAGATAATGCTTCACCTATAGAATTTGGTATCGACACAAAAGATAGAGAAGAGAGGCGAGTATAATCCAAAGAAGGAAGACGGTGATAACTAAGGTTAAAATAGTGTGAAGATGGGATGTGAGTGGAGCAAATACCTTTCTGCAAAGCAATTGGCCAAACAATGTCAAGGGGAAGGTTCGGATTCAGTAAAGAAGATGGTGTTGGGGAGGAGTTTGTCATCGTCTTTACTATATCTTCTCAAGCTATCATGGAGGATGGTGTAGGCATGTTAGCGGTCCGTCGATGATGTTGATATATTTGAAGAGGTCGCACAACCTGGGGCTATGTTGTGGGGGCATCTTAGGTCACCATAGAGTCATCTCAAGTCATGGGCAGAAGAGGGACAAGAGCACGGGTACGTAGAGAGGAGGGAGCTAACTCAAAATAAGGGTCAAACTCAAAAAAAGTGACATTAGTTAAAATGAAATATCATTGAAGGGTAGGAGAGAAACAACAATAACCTCTCTATGAACGACGATAACCTAGGAAGAGACATATGGTGGACCATGTTGAGAGGTTGTCATGACCTTGAGTTAGATTGTGAACAAAGTAGGTGAAGTTGAAGACACGAGGTGAAATTATATAAAGTAGTGAGTGAGAAAATAGAACAAAATGAGGAACCTAATCATTTAGGATAGTGGATGGCATGTGATTGATGAGGTAGTAGGCATTGAGAATGACATCACCTAAAAAACGAAGAGGAATATTGCGATGGAGGAGAAAAGTTTGAGTGGTCTTAACAAGATGCCCGTTTTTGCATTCAACCACCTCGTTTTGTTGAGGGGTGTGGGGGAGAGATGTTTGATGAAGAATGCCCTTTGACACCAATAATTGTTGAAACGGATGAGATAAATATTCTTATCCATTATCATTGCGAAGAGAATGTATAGGGATGCCAATAGGTTTTTGATTGCATGATAAAATTTCTCAAACAGGGAAAACAATACATACTTGCTTTTCATTAAACATTGCTAATTACATCGTGAGAAATCATGAATAAATGTGACAAAATATTTAAAATCATACTAGGTAACATTACAAGAAGGACCTCAAACATCAAAGTGAACCAAGACAAATAGGGATGTTGCTCTTTTATTAACTCGATTAGGAAACAAATTATGAGTGTGTTTCCGTAATTGACATGACTCATAATGTAGAGTAGACAAGTTGATGGAATCATGCTTTGGAGTGCAAGAGGTGACATACTCAAAGATCCAAGAGGAGTTGGCTAGACATGAAGGTTTGGGCCAGCCAGGGCCTAATGGGCCTTATGGGCCTGGGAAGGCCCAAGTTGAACTTTTCATGGGTCATAGTTTGTTATAGCTATTTTCATATGTTTTGTATATCATGTTAGTATAGGTATCATATATTTTGGTCTTGTATTTTGGACCACATAGAGTAGCATTTTAGGTTTTAGGCTAGTTGGGCCTAGTTTTGGGCTTCATGGGCCTTTGGGCTTTTGGTACCCAATATTGGGCTCATTTTCATTCTTGTAATTTTTCCTTTTCATTGTAATTGTTGGACCAATGTAATTAGGTCATTAGAATAGGAAAATACAAGGAATACTAAAGTATGCTAACTAGGTTAAATTAGGTTTAATTTGGAAGTCATTTAAGTTACATTTGAGTCACATGTTTAGCACCTTGGGTGGCTGAACATGTGCCACTCAAATTAACCCTAAATGACTCTCAAATCACACCTAAATGCACCTTGGTACCTAAATTTTCGGACTTACACATGTGCACCAAAGTTTGAATTCAAATTTCAAATTTGAATTCAAACTTTAGGCGCCGACCAATGTAATTAGGTCATTAGAATAGGAAAATACAAGGAATACTAAAGTATGCTAACTAGGTTAAATTAGGTTTAATTTGGAAGTCATTTAAGTTACATTTGAGTCACATGTTTAGCACCTTGGGTGGCTGAACATGTGCCACTCAAATTAACCCTAAATGACTCTCAAATCACACCTAAATGCACTTTGGTACCTAAATTTTCGGACTTACACATGTGCACCAAAGTTTGAATTCAAATTTCAAATTTGAATTCAAACTTTAGGCGCCATTTTGTGAACCTTAAGCTTAGGCGCCTAAGTGTCATAATTTCGGTGCATACTTAAGCCAATTCCTTCTCACTTTGTATTCACTTTGAATATTCAGAAATTTGAGAGCCATTGAGCCAAGTTTCTCCCTCAAAGTCACCGTGAATTCTCTCTAGTTTTAGGAGTTCACCATTGTTCCTTCTCTTTGAAGTGAACAATCCATTGATGCTTGAGCTTGGATACTTCCTTCTAAGCTTAACCTCCTTCCATTCCGAAAATCTCCATCTACTTAAGCCTCCATTCCATTCGGTTTGCATCTCCATTGAAGAGGATCCGAGCTAGGTGAAGAATAGGAGAAGAACTACATTCACTTTTCCTACCTTCTCCATCACAAGTTGGAGAGGTTGGGGATCAACTTTTGAAGCTTTGGTAGACTAGGATGTCTCAACTGGCATGTATTGTCAACAAAGACATAGTGGTTGAGCAAACTTGTGGTGTGGAGAGATAATATAGGCCGTGAGACTAACATCTGATGCCAATCATTTGTCTTGAAGTGCGTTCTTACAAGGTAACAAAATCTTTAGAAAATGAAGTGCGTTCTTACCTTCTCTGGAATCTCAATTTGAATATAGAAAAAGAA